TCCATACTCTTTGCATATATGTACAGCAAGCTTAGCCAATAGATGCACCCGTCTCATCACATATCAGTCATTATAAGACACGTAATTTTTTTTTCAATGTTATTTATATTGGTGTATTGTACTGTGGTGTGTGACGCAATGAACTTTCCTTAAGTTCCCTTATTATTATATGTTTATACTCAGACTGCCTTTTCGAAGCAATTATTTTTTCCCGGGTGTATCCTTGAGTGATGCCCAATCTGCACTAATCCATGGTTGTTAAAAATATATTTGTTTGTTTTGGTTTTCTGACAAGTTGTAATAGGAGTTTACATTGAGTAGTGTAGATTCATTTATTTTAGGTGTGCTTGTTTGTTTATCGTTTTTCCTGTTGAACTTTCATGTACATTTAAGTGTTTTTCTTTCGACTGTATTTATTTCATCTTGGGGTTGGTCAAATGCATCGTTTTGGGGCAAGTACGCTATTTACATTTGTAGCTCAATACTGAACATCAATAAATTGCATAATGTGACCTTGACATTTGACCCGTTGTCTCGAAAATGAAAATGAGTCGCAAAGGGAACATATGTGAATGCCCTCGTTATTTTTCCCCTCCGTGCTGGCACAGGTAATAAGGTATATGAAGCACGGAGATGCACATATTCAGTTACATATCTATGGTGAAAATCAATCAATTACCAAAGAAGTCCGATGCATGGAAATAAACATTTTAAAACACTGATCAATTTACTAGGAAATCATTAAAATTAAACTCTATTAAGGCCAGACTTTTATTATCCTTGTTTCGCGAACCCGCCGAACGAATAGGAGCCGAAAATGAAATGAAAATAAAATTATCTTTCAGCGTAATTTCTCGCGCCTGCCGACTTGTGAGTGCAAAACATTGCTAAAAAGAATTATTTATATCTTCATTTTTTTCCGCCCGCCGCCTAACAAATCCAGGTTGCATTTTCGTGGGAGTATCATGATCAAAGTACAGAAGTCTCGCGTAGATCTATATTTTATGCGGGTTGGTTGACAGTGAATCTCGGGTATTGAACTCTCTGCCTGCTGCTTGCGAACATGGCGGCGGCGTGGTTTGTGGTGATACGCCTTGAAACTCTGTCATCAAAAACCGTGAAATCCCTCATTAATGCTGAAAAATGCCAACCAGGTTATACATGGAATAAAATTGTATTTCATTTCTTCTCGCCGATCAATTATCTCACTTACAATTCTTTGAAATTCAAATATAATGGATAAAAAGAATTAATTTTATTTTTCCGCCCTCCTCAAAAAAATGACTCAAGCAACAACTTTTACATAAATGTCTATGTGTATATACTATCCCAAAACCACACCTACACTTGTAGTTTCCCCAAGCATCTACAACCCTGACACCAGTTATATATTACTGGATATGTGTTAATCAAGTTGGTGATAATGGTCCTTGAAGCTGCAATGTTACAATTAGATCATACGCTGGATAAATGTGGAAATGAACCAAAAGCTACCTGTATAGTCATTCTTGAAGATTTTCCAGAATCGCGTCAGTGCCAAAAGACATATACAAGTCTAGATCGACCACCATACAAAGAATAGTAACTATGCTGGGACCTGTTGTTGGCATCTATGCTCTGTGTTCAATACAATGTAATCAATGTTATTTCACTCATTCAATGTTCCTTCCATGAATATCAAAAATAAATAGACTTCTGTTTCTATCATACACCCCTGCATGGCATGCCGGTGTTGAGTATTGTGTGAATAAAACATATTTTAATGTTCTATTAACCTGAAAATGACACTGGGGGAAATGGGCAAAATGTTAATTTATCATGATTTGATACCACCTGTGTAGTTCAATTTACCGAAAACATGTAGGAATGGTCACTTGTAAAATTTTCACTAAGATGGATGATTATCCAAATTGCCTAGAAACACTTGTTAACATATCTTCTTATCTCGCTGCTTCAACTATATCATCTTTATCATGACTTACGATGATCTTATCCAACAGAATAATCATGCTAATTTTTTTTTGTGTGGAATTGGTTCGCTGGAATGCTCATTCGGACGAACCGTTTAACAGTTTCTATTGGATTTCCAGTTTGTTAGTGGATTTACTGATTTAATATTTTGAAATTTCCTTTTTGTAAATACATTAACTTAATAATTCTGGGTCAACAAATTTACATTTGCAGGATGAAATCATCAAATGGTAATAACAAACATGTTATGAGAGAATTTTCAATCTAAACGCAGGTGTTATAGCAACCAAGCTGCACATTGTACAAATATAATTTCGACATAACGATAGACATATAATTATAGAAAGCAATTCACTCATTATTTCATTTCACTAAGAAATTAGCCTTAAAATTCACAGTATATACAGGATGCAACATTCAATTCGTATTCAGCACTACTTCATAGTCGCTGATGCCACTTTTTTGGGTTTCTGGTTTATTTTGATACAGTGGCCGGTTGTTCAGTGATTGGTACACGTCAATTGAGATACCAGTAAGATTTAACGATGTATAATTATCTTCCCCAAAATTTATCTGTGTTGCCGGGTCAATTTCGTAATTTGCTGTACGATTTCTGTATTGAATATGAAAATACAAAATGTATAGAACATTTTGAATTAGAGAAATGTTACATATATTCAAATATGTATTTTAACATACTCATAAAAACGAAATATTTTTCAAACTGTTTGTCATTGGTCTTACCGTAATTTTCGACAGAGATACTGTGCGAAAAACGTCACACTGGCTCCCAATAAAAACGACAGTACTGTACTGACTGCAAGGATATCTATCAAAAGAATATCGTAAATGAATAATTTTGCTGAAGTGAATTTTTGATATTGTTCATTAGAACTTAGGTTGACAAAAAAGGAAAATCTATCTAACAGGACTTTACCATTTGATGTATTTCCCAGGTTTTTATCTAATTTCGGATTGTAAATTCCTTCACAGCAACCTGCACACACCGTGCATGATGTGTTGAATTTGTCTGATATATCTGATGTATTAGTCTTCTCTGTTTCTGTTGAGTATTCGAATGAATAAGCCGTCGACTCCCTGGGAATCTTACTATGGAAAGATGTTGGCGTATAGGTTACAACCGTTTTTGTTGGAATGGCTGAAAATAAAAATAATGCAAATTGGATACATACATCAAACCCTATTGCTTAACTCTAGTTATTATTATTATTATTATTATTATTATTATTATTATTATTATTATTATTATTATTATTATTATTTTTATTATTATTATTATTGCTAACTCACCTGAACACTGTGGTTCTATATCAACTGACCAACTACTAGTATCCATACATTGTTTATTTGGTGTACCACTACGACTATGATAGTAACCATCTACACATTGATAGTATACATTGTTTTGGTAGGTATAGTCAGTATTGGTATGGTAGGCATTTGAGAATGATGATGGGACACCATATGATTGAGATGAAATGAAACACTATGCTAATATTGTTGAACTGAATCACTAAATTGCACATTGTGGCAAAGCCAACTAACCAATTACCAGTTCCATGTTGGATCACCCCAGGATAGAGCTGTGACTAACCTGTACATTGTGGTTCTATTCCAACTGACCAACTACTAGTATCCATGCATTGTTTATATGGTGTACCACTACCACTATGATAGTAACCATCTACACATTGATAGTATACAGTGTTTGGATAGGTATAATCAGTATTGGTATGGTAGGCATTAGAGAATGATGCTGGGACACCACAAGATACAGCTGAAATGAGAATAATATGCTGATTTTGAAATGGATTAAACTTTATTTTGTGGTTCTACTCCAATTTACACACTACCAGAAAACATACAATGTTTATATGGTGCATTACTTTCATTATGATAGTAACCATCTACACACTGAAATTATATTGTTTTGGTAGGTATAGTCAGTATTAATACGGTAGGCATTAGAGTTTAAATTAAATAATTCATCTGTACATTGCGGTTCTAATCCAACTGACCAACTACCAGTATCCATGCATTGTTTATATGGTATACCATTACCACTATGATAGTAACCATCTACACATTGATAGTATACAGTGTTTGGATAGGTATAGTCAGTATTGGTATGGTAGGCATTTGAGAATGATGGTGGGACACCACAAGATACAGCTAAAATGAGAACAATATGTTGATTTTGAAATGGACCAAATTTCTCTTTGTGGTCCTACTCCAATTTACACACTACCAGAAAACATACATTGTTCATAAGGTGCATTACTTTCACTATGATAGTAACCATCTACACATTGATAACATACATTGTTTTGGTAGGTATAGTCAGTATTTGTATGGTGGGCATTGGAGATTAATGATGCCACACCATATGATTGAGATGAAATGAAACACTATGCTAATATTCTTGAACTGAATCACTAAATTGCACATTGTGGCAAAGCCAACTAACCAATTACCAGTTCCATGTTGGATCACCCCAGGATAGAGCAGTGACTAACCTGTACATTGTGGTTCTATTCCAACTGACCAACTACTAGTATCCATGCATTGTTTATATTGTGTACCACTACCAATATGATAGTAACCATCTACACATTGATAGTATACAGTGTTTGGATAGGTATAATCAGTATTGGTATGGTAGGCATTAGAGAATGATGCTGGGACACCACAAGATACAGCTGAAATGAGAATAATATGCTGATTTTGAAATGGATTAAACTTTATTTTGTGGTTCTACTCCAATTTACACACAACCAGAAAACATACAATGTTTATATAGTGCATTACTTTCACTATGATAGTAACCATCTACACACTGAAATTATATTGTTTTGGTGAGTATATTCAGTATTAATACGGTAGGCATTAGAGTTTAAATTAAATAATTCACCTGTACATTGCGGTTCTAATCCAACTGACCAACTACCAGTGTCCATGCATTGTTTATATGGTATACCATTACCACTATGATATTAACCATCTACACATTAGTAGTATACAGTGTTTTGATAGGTATAGTCAGTATTGGCATGGTAGGCATTAGCGGATGATGGCGGGACACCACAGGATACAGCTGGAATAAAAAAAAAAGTTTTAATTTTTAACTGAGTAACTAACCTTTACATTGTGACTAACTACCAATATCCATGCATTGTTTACATGGTGTACCCATATCACTGTGATAGAAACCATTCACACGCCCATCTGTGCAACTCAATTATATCATATACACATATTAACAAAGTAAATGCGTTGCTTCGTGCATTGCATTGCATTGCATTGCTTTGATATATTTTTCCCCACGATTTCCTATGTAACACCGTCTTTAGCTTTAATTACGAATTATACATAATGTGGAAACTACTATTTTTCAAACTAAGTCGAATGAAATGTAGTTCAGAAATTAGAGGGTGGTCCAGTCTTATACAAAAAAATTTGATAGAATAGGTGGCTCTTTAAGCGTGACGTTATGTCGTACCAGAAGCCTTCTCTGGTGGCTGGGTCACGGTGGCTGATGATGACACCAAGAGTTTAACAACCCGCTCACGCAAATAAATGTGAAAACTATTGTTAAGACCACATTCGTGATAGGTTATGCATCCGCCAGGTCACACTGGAACTGTTGTCATGCCTGGTACAATTTGCGATGCAATGAGCCAGGTAACTAGGCTGCCATTTTTGTTTCATTCATGATGCAGTGAGAAGGGCAATGGTTAATTGCTACCTACTTGATGTGCTGTCATTGTCGTCGTGTCACGCGTATTATCATAGACACATGGATTGAAAAAAAGTTGACCAAATCTATTTCTTATTTGAACCATCTCACAAGATCATGTTGTTTTGGGGTTCAATTGCACTTTCCTGATTTATTGATTTCCATTCAAATTAAAAGTTACTTTTATCAATTTATCTCCTGATGCAAACATAATTTTGATGCCACAATAGGAACGGAAATGTACTAATGACTAACCTGTGCATGTAGGTATATTATTACTCCACTGTCCATCATCCTGACACGACATGAGGCTTTCTCCAATCAATCCATATCCTTGTTTACAGGTAAATGTGATGACGTCACCATGGTTAAAAATATCGTTCTGGTGTGCAGATGAGATGATCAAGTGATCCGTGACTGTGGGTGTTGTGCACAGTTGCAGAGATGTATCTAAATTATGAATTCAAAAATATTCGTCACATAAGTTGAATGAACTTCAAATAATGTAGATAATTTGCAGTGTTTATGTGATCGTTCAATACCTTGATAAGCTATAACAAATCCTTTATCAGTGCCGTTATGATTTGAGAAAAACTGCAGCCATAGAGCATTGCTGGAACTGTTGATTTTGAATACATCACCATAGCTACCAGTATAAATACCCAATGTCGTCGAGTGAACATTTCCATTTCTGACAGTCAAGTTTTTCTCAGATTAAAGTGACATACTTACTATCATATACATCAAATTGCCAATCACCTGCACATGCTTGTTTGTAAGGATCAGTTCCAGTATCACCACTGCATTGTTGACTACCATATTCTGTATACTCATTTATCATTTCTCCAGGTATAGCTTCTCCATATTGCCAATATTCAGTGTTCTCATCTCCACAGTAACATTCA